GACTAAACAACAACAACAACAACAACAACAACAACAACAACAGCAACAGCAACAACAAACAAAAACAAACACACACTAGCAGTATTCTAAGTTCTCAAAAACACATACATTTAAGCCTGCAAAAATAAGTATTATTCAATTAGTTCTTAATTATTTTTCTGAACCCCTCTCTCCAACTTTTCCAGGGTTCGCCCTTTTCTCTGTTCCCATCTGATCTCTCGTTGTATGCTTTCGCGGTTTTACTTTCTGAAGGCAGTCTAGACACATACTCAAACTATTTAATCGCTTGTAACACATAGATAAACAACAAATTAAATATTAATTGGTTGGGTATCTATGAAGACTACCACCAGACATTATATAGCTGTATATTAATAATATTATGCAGATGTGTTAACGGGGGTGGTTGGCGGGTGCTCTGGTGTGGTTTGCTCCTTCTTTCTTATCGTCTGCCGTCTTTATCTCCTCTTCTTTTTTTGTGTTTCTTACTCTCTTTTAACACCTTTATTCTTCTGGCACTCATATGACCTTATGCAGTTGCGAGCACCGTAAAGCCTCTACTAAAACAAACAAACAAGATGTGTTAACCACCTTATAGACAGACACAATTTAGATCATTTAGGAGGCAAGCTTCAACCTTGCCTGTAAGGGCCAACCTGGGCTAAGAGGAATAAAACGGCGCAGCAGAAATAAATCCATAAATTTCCCCTCCAACCTCCCTCCCAAAAACCCCACTTGAGAACCGAACTCAGGTCTACTGGTTGAAAAGACAAATCGCCTGACCGCTACACCACAGACGCTAATGACGCGGTATACATCAAGGTGAAATATTATGTATTTTACAGGCATGTCGTGGCCTAATTTAGTTGAGAGGTGTCTTGTGCACATTTTTTGTTTCCTCCACGTGACATTTTGATTTCCCACGTGACTTTTTGTGTTTTTACACGTGACATAACACGTGTACACGTGACTCCAAAAAGTTTATCATAGGCGAGATTTGGAGGTTGTTTTCTTTGGGGTCAGAGCGGGGGTAAGGGGGTCGAGAGGGGCGTGGTTCTGGAAGAAGGGGGTGGGGTCAAGAATGACCCAAGAGGGGTGTGGTTGGGGAATAAAGTGGTGTGGGAGGGAGATTTAAGGGGGAGGTAGAGAAGAAGAGGAGGAAAAGGACTAAAGTGGAAGGGGGGTGGGGGTTGGAG